CTATTTCCAGCAGAGAAAGATACCCATGTTTAGTTTTCTTAATTCTAATGCTAGGATTGACATGTTGATACCTTTGAGAAAGCATTTTTAGAAATGAAAAATATATTATTATTGTGATTCTGTTCTTCTTTAACAAAAATTTTCTATTGGACAGGCTTTACTAAGAGCCACAGTACCTAAACTTATAGTAAGAGATTGAAAAGAATCTGGTTTAACCTACCAAAACCAAAGTAACTTGAAAATTATATCTGTAATTGAGTAATCTTAACCCTTAAAAAAAATGTACATTTCATGTTATGCTTATGAGATAAAATTTTTTTAATTTCATAAATTGTTAGGACTATTTAAAATTCAGGATACTTTTCAAGTCAGGATTCTACCAATATTGATATTTTAGTATTTAAATTAGCTAAGCATTAAACAAATGCAAATGAATAAATAACATGAACTCTGAAAAGACTTTGTTTTTGCCTTTTTTTGTTGTTTGGTTGTATTTTGTGTTTGTTTTTTTAAACATAAACTTAGGCGTTGCATGTCTTTCATGAATTAACAAAGCCTGTACTTTCAGGTTAAAAGACAGCAGGCTTACCAGATTTTAAGTGAAATATTGAGCGCTACAGTGATTTAATGGTTTTAAACCATAAATGTGATTGCAGTCTGAGGGTGTCACAGACAACTTAAGGAAGGAAAAAAAAAATGGGGCACAGAAAAATCACTTTGTCAGTAATTACAATCAAGAGCCCTAAGATGTGGCTCAGGCTGCTCATTACTTCTTCCTTCTGTATCAAGACCCTTATTTACATTTCAGATTACATTTTTTATGAAACAGTAAGATCTATCAGAGCTGAGAGGACTGAAATAATGAGGGGAAAACATTTTAATAAAACGTGTTGGGTCTGCATTACTTCCGCGTCAGAAAGAAAGGCTACTTCTGTAGAAATGGATCATTTATTCTGCTTCTAAACGAGAAGCAAAAAGATGAAACTGATGAACTTTTACTGCCCATTTGTCTTTAACAGACAATTAAGACAGAGAAGATCAAAATGGATTATCGTACCATGCAGACAACTGGCCCAACAGTAATACATCTCCGGGACCACAGATTTGTAACTCTCTTTCATCCCTCCCCTTTCTTCTTACTTCTTTTTCCACTCTAAAGGCAGTGCTAGCTTTGTGGCTCAAGGAGAGCCAAAAGGCTGGTCATCATTATTCAGTCACAGATGTCAATCTAACCTCCCTTTTTTCTCAGTTTCTAAAGCAGTGAGCCACAATAATTTGTGACAGATTCTTTTACTGTAAGGTACAAAGAACACACAGAATAAAACATCTAGCAGCAGCAAGTGTCTCTGATCAAGTGTGCTGGTACATGGGAAACACACTATATGTAAAAACAAGCACTGGTAGTTTAGGCGAAGGAGGAGAAAAACTGGGGGGCAGTTTGTGTGCATGTGCAGTAATAAACTGTACTGAATTATCTCAAATATTCCTTATGGATTACATTATATATGCTTTAATTCTAGAAATGTTACCTAGATTAAATGCAAATTCAGCATTTAAGATTTGTATGTAATAGACATATTTCCAAGAGTTCCTTTATAATACACCAAGAGGAGAGGGAATTTGGTTTAATCAACAAATGCTAAGATGAGAAAACATTTAAGATCAGAACCCAAATGATAAAAAGGTAAATAAGAAATATGTAGGTTGTACTTCCTTTACGAGTAGATCAACTCTCAAAATAAATTTCTGGGAATTTGGAGGTAACTTCCCCCCCTCCAAAAAATAGATCCTTCATTCATTCTTGAGTTATATTCCACAAAGAAGGGACATCATACATATCCAGTTGGGAGAGATGCTAAATAAGGTGATGATGTTCACCTCCTCCTAAGTCTATGCCTAGCCTGCAAATATCACCCTCCAAATTTTATAACTATGTCACTGATCTAAACAAAGAAAACAAATACCTGTCTTATGAGCTATGAAAGCTATCATTATTTTCTAGGTTTTTACTGTAAGTTTAAATTACTCCAACTTCAATATATGAAATACTTCTAATATTATCCATTAGCCAAAGTACAGTGAACTAAGCTCATAGCTTAACAAAATAAAATCTGTCAACTGGGCTCCATAGGCAACGACAGAATTGGTAATAGTCTGTATTTCTCTCTATACACACATATGTACTACACATACATATGGATGTATAGTACCTATATACACACATATACACTCTCCCCAAACACACATATACACCTACTCAGAGAAATAAACAGGAAGATAAACAACAAATTGTCACAGTCATTATATCTGAGTCGTAAGATTACAGAGGACTTGTATTTTGTTTCTTTTCATTCTTTTTAAATCTATTTTCGATTTATCTATATTTCCTAAACAGTCTTTGTCATGAACATATTGACCATGTGATTTTTAAGTTACACCCCCAAAAAAATCATGTTGCTCAAAAACTTTCAGATATAGTAAAAAACTATGCTTAAAGGAATAGATCCAGATGTTCATCATGTTATTTTAAGTTTCTTCTAAAAAATTTTCTCTCACTGGGTAATTTAGATCATGGGACTACAAAAGTTATTTATTTGGATGCAAGATTTTAGAATAATGATTTTCTTAAGAGCTCTAGCCTCAAGTCTGTCCAAAACAATACTTTAAAGATTTTCCACCTTTATACGTTGTTTCAAGAAAATAAATCACTAATAAAAAGATCCTATAATCTTTGGATTGTGTAGATTAAATCCAGTGGGCTCAATTTCATACCAATTTAAGGCAAGATTTTTTGTATTTTTTTCAAATCTCATTTAAAAGTCTTGAGATCACACACAAAGCAAACCATACCAGTTCTCTTGGGTTCTTGTACAATGAAATCTCATTACAAAGCATCTCATTATACTGATTATCCCATTGTATTCCCGGTCACATCATGTCCCCTGTATTAGTAAAGATGTATCAGATACCTTGCCCTCTACACAACAGGCCACACTGCAAAGTGTTACTACAACTGTGTTGGATATTTCTATCCCATTGTACTTATCCTCATTCAAGGACACTTTTTTAATAGACAAAATTAAATGGATGTACTTCAGAAACATGTTTTTTTATTGTGTATAGTATTTCACATGTGAAAGGCTTTATAAATTGTTCTAATCCATATAATCAAGTATGTCTGTATTTCAAAACTGCTTTAAAAAACATACCAAAGTGTATATTTGAACTAAAAATTTAGGGTGTCTCAAAACCTACAAAACATCCCTAATATTTCTTAAGACAGGAACTGGGATCCAGAATGCTTAACCTGGATCTGATTATCAAGAGTAGAGCAACATCAGAACTTCAGCACTTTTTTGTGATTAAAACAGTTCCTTCCACTCCATTCCATGCTTGCAGAATGCAGGGAATTCGAGATGGCAGGACCAACTGGCCAGCTTTAACTTTCACTGCTACAATTGCAAGTACCCTTTACCCTAAAGAACATTCCAGCAAGTGTATCTTCTTCTTGGAGTACTACCATGACACATAGTTTCATAATCCATTTCAAATTCCAGGCATTGTTTTAAACCTCCCTCTTCCCCGCTTTTTTGTTATGCTGGGCCTTGACTACTTAGATAGCATTTTTAAAAAAAGAAAAAAGTTCACCAGCAATCCAGAAAGGATTTCCTAATGAACTACAGGCTGTAGCATACCTCAAAGTAAAAAGTAAAATTTGTGATAGATTATCTTCCTTACTTTTTGTGCATTGGTTAACACCCCAAATCTAGCACCAATATTTTCAATCCTACTTCAATATATTTTATTTCTTGTCTTGGGTTCCTATTACTGTTTCCCTTCCCTTCTAAAAAATTCATTTATCTCTTTCAGTAAAAAAGAACAGTAATAATATGTTGAACAACTCTGAAATAAATTTTGTCATGTAAAAAATTAATTACGCATTCCGAACCTGGTCACTGTAGTCCTTCGGGAATTGCCTCTGCACCTCAGGATCTGTAAATAATTGACAGATAATATTAATTGGCTTTGGATTAGTGAGCAAGCAGAGGATCACACATTAATATTTGATCAGAAGATGATAGCAGCCCTGGCAGGGGATCCAAGGGGGGCAGCTGAGGCTGCTATGTTGATGAGCACAAGGAAGGACTCACCAAGGCACTCCCATTACCCTCCCCCAGAAATATAAAAAAGAAAAATTTTGAAGACCTGATGCTACTGTTAACTTTAGACCATTACCTAATGCAAAAATCTTGCCAGCTGCAAATTGCCCTCAATATATTTTCCCAGAGAAAATGAGTCTTAAACCTGCTTGACTTTTCCTCTCTAATCAGAAGCTTCCTTTTCACAGTTACAGACGTGGCTTGATAAACCACCTTAAACATCAGTTTCAGATTGTGTGTGCACTGCAAGGGATGCCAGGGTAAGAGAAGAATTTTTTCAAGGAACAAATGCAAAAACTACTTGCTTTAAAAAATGAGACATATCCTTCCCAAAATACTTATGAATTCTTGAAAATACAGATAAAATCTAAAGAACATTCCAGCAAGTGTATCTTCTTCTTGGAGTACTACCATGACACATAGTTTCATAATCCATTTCAAATTCCAGGCATTGTTTTAAACCTCCCTCTTCCCCGCTTTTTTGTTATGCTGGGCCTTGACTACTTAGATAGCATTTTTAAAAAAAGAAAAAAGTTCACCAGCAATCCAGAAAGGATTTCCTAATGAACTACAGGCTGTAGCATACCTCAAAGTAAAAAGTAAAATTTGTGATAGATTATCTTCCTTACTTTTTGTGCATTGGTTAACACCCCAAATCTAGCACCAATATTTTCAATCCTACTTCAATATATTTTATTTCTTGTCTTGGGTTCCTATTACTGTTTCCCTTCCCTTCTAAAAAATTCATTTATCTCTTTCAGTAAAAAAGAACAGTAATAATATGTTGAACAACTCTGAAATAAATTTTGTCATGTAAAAAATTAATTACGCATTCCGAACCTGGTCACTGTAGTCCTTCGGGAATTGCCTCTGCACCTCAGGATCTGTAAATAATTGACAGATAATATTAATTGGCTTTGGATTAGTGAGCAAGCAGAGGATCACACATTAATATTTGATCAGAAGATGATAGCAGCCCTGGCAGGGGATCCAAGGGGGGCAGCTGAGGCTGCTATGTTGATGAGCACAAGGAAGGACTCACCAAGGCACTCCCATTACCCTCCCCCAGAAATATAAAAAAGAAAAATTTTGAAGACCTGATGCTACTGTTAACTTTAGACCATTACCTAATGCAAAAATCTTGCCAGCTGCAAATTGCCCTCAATATATTTTCCCAGAGAAAATGAGTCTTAAACCTGCTTGACTTTTCCTCTCTAATCAGAAGCTTCCTTTTCACAGTTACAGACGTGGCTTGATAAACCACCTTAAACATCAGTTTCAGATTGTGTGTGCACTGCAAGGGATGCCAGGGTAAGAGAAGAATTTTTTCAAGGAACAAATGCAAAAACTACTTGCTTTAAAAAATGAGACATATCCTTCCCAAAATACTTATGAATTCTTGAAAATACAGATAAAACTAGACGAAGTTTTCTTCAAAACAGAAACAATACACTTAGCTTGCCAGCGTAAACAAAATACATGCTATATTATGTTCTATCAACATAACTAGATTTGCTCAGAAACTATAAAAATATATGGGTGAAAATATCTCTCATGACCATCTGTTTAAAATCGAACTACTAAAAGGGTCACTTGATTCTTCAATCATAATTGCAAGATAAGCCAATGCCATCGTCTGTGAGTCAATACAGAAGTGTACTAATTAAAAGCTATTAGCGCTCCATTTGTTATGGATTAGGAAAACATTCAATCTTTTCTAATAAGAGAAAGATCTGGTTCTTTGGAGACATATTAAATGGGGTGATCAAAATAGTATCTATTTGAGAAACATGTAGCAATGCAAAAGGCTTATGGGAAAGCACAATATTTGTAGGTCCCCTTGCACAGTGATCAAAATATACACTACTCACTTTTCATATCCATCTTGTAGAACACCAATTTACTTCTCTGTGAAAGTGAATCAACGTAAAAGTTAAAACCCTCTAAGTCACAACACAAAAATGCAGTTTATCTCTTACAGTGAAGAATCAAAAAGGGAGAAAACAAAGGACCTATTCACATACTACATCTAAATCCCAGAAATACCAGTTTTCAAGTCACTGAGCCAATGGATCTTAGTTTTAAAAACCCAAGACTAATAACAAAAGAAAGAATACTCAAAAGGGCATACCAAAAGTAGAGCTTCCTAAAGTGGGTAGTGTAAAAAAGTTCAAACTATCCATTGCAAATTTTGATTCTTGAGGTATCTCTGGCTGACTTAATAACTGGGGATCAATTTCTTTCTTTACCCTCGTCTTAAAATACTAGAAGGGACAAATGACATGTCTAGTTGGTGATAGCAGAACTCCGCAGTAATCCTCCATGTAGAGAGCGCCAGTTGAAGAAACCGTTGCTTCTCTCTGGCCTGAAGGGCTGAAGACACAGAAGGACTTGGCCCTCTTGAGACAGGAGGCCAGAGGGCGCTAACGGTGTGGCACCAAGAGCACTAGGTCTCCGCAGAAAGAATTAGCCAGCAGGAGGCAAAGGGACAGCCAGATGCTCAACAAACTTCTAAAAGTATGCTCTTGGGATGGGGGGGAAGGGGTGTCAAGAAAAGAGAGCAGTGGTTATAATTCCTGAAACATATAAAATAGCTTGGTCCAGGAAAAAACCTGGGGTTTTAGGATTTAAAATTTGGATCCAAGAACGAAGAAAATGTACTTCTAAGTCACTGAGGGACACAGTAAAACAGGTTGGGAAAGCCGCAAAATAGTCTGAGGCTTATTCTTTTTCCTTCAGTCGTCATTTGGCTAACACTAACTCTTCAACAGAAAACTTCATGTTGAAATTACTCACATATAAATCTTTAACATCATGTCCTCTTTCTTGCAACTGTTTGTGCTTCTTGGGAACCACAAAATACCAATGGAAATAAAGATGGAATAAAACCATAGATTTTTATCACCATGTGGTGAGGGGATGAATGTCAGAAACCAAAATTTGTGGTATATTCTCCAATTTAAAAAAAAGTAAATTTCTTGTTTAGAGGTGGGAGAAGTAGGTTTTTAAATCTCTTTAGCCAACTACCTTAATAATTAACTTACCATTTTAAAATGTATTTTATTCATATATACAACATAGTAGAATTGAAAAAAGAGAAGGAAATGTGGATGAAAAGAAAATTAATCTATTGTAATACACTGAAGGTAAAGGTGACCATGGAATGCCAAGATGCGGTCATTCAAATCATGTTATCCTAAACACAGCCTCAATGGCAGCACATAATAAACACCATCTACTAAATTCCTTCAACTGTCTTAAGACTAACCTTAGAGTGAAATTCCCAGATATTAACAGAATCATGTTCCAAGATAACACAATATGTTGACATCTGGATAAAACAACATCTTGCTATGATTAAAGCAGAAAACTTTTATTTTCTTTCTTTACAAAAGCAAACTTCATGGGTCCTTAACATTCTGTAAAGCAGTATTTTAAAAAGAGAGAGAAAGGCAATCCTTTTTTAAAACCAAAGTCTAACCTATCAAGTTCCATTCAATTAGCTCAAAGATCCAATCTAATAGTTAATAAAACTATGAAAGCCATTTTGTAAAAATTAACACAAAACTGAAAATAACTTGTTTGAATTTTCTTAAAATGTATTTTGCACGATAGATTGAAATCATCTTTTCTCACAATGAATTGATACTAATACCATAATGTCACCAAAATACCGACATTGGAAACATCTGAGTTAAAAAGGTCCAAATACAATCTGCTTTTCTCAAGCAGCACAACACCCGCCTCACTAACAGTTTCAGCATGGCACATGTACAAAACCTAGCACCCTGCAGTTAAGCAAACCGCCTTTAAATTTTCTGTCTGGCAGCAATCCACTTGCGTGTCTGTATGTTTTTACAAGTACTCTATGTATTTCATTGCATCAGCTGCATTTCTTTTGAGTTTTAAATGGTCTGGGAACATTTTATGAAATTTTCTATATCTTTATGTGGAAAAATAACATACACTGGAAAACTGTGCATCGGTCTAATATTTACATATCTATTTCTTTATCCCCCATCCAATGCTATAATTGCTAATGTTCCAAAATACCTTCTCACATTCATACCCTCTCCACCAAATGCAATGTCACCAACAGCTAGCTTTCAACACAAAAAGCTGCATATGACAGTACAACCACAGAAAAAAGTAACATCACAATTGGCTTCGGTGACTGGCAGTAAGAACAAAGTTATTGGCATATGTCAAGCTTTTACTCTAAGAATTGTCCCTCTGACAGAAAATTAAGAACATAATACACTGATACAAAGCACACCCTTCCTCCCTTATCCTTCTCTCTCAGCAACTTTCTCCAGACTGAAGTAATAGATTAAAGAATTAAGTCAATTTCATCATCTCTCAGGAAAATACTTTCCAACAAAAAATACTATATTTAAAATATATCTGGCCAATTAAGATGGGTGGTATGGCAAAGTCCTTATATTTCTTAACCACATAGGCAGTTAGTAGGCTGTGGAATGAGGCTCCAAGTTATGTCAATGAAATGGGCCACTACCTTCCTCCAGCACCATGGCCCTGGAAGAGGATACCCCCCAAGTTACATGTGCACCATGTTCTCTGCTGGAGTCTACAAGGAGCATTTCCATATTTAAGACAGATATTTCAATAGGACTCCCAACAGCACAATCTCATTCAGGCACACAATATGACTATGCTTGCAAAAGGCTATGTCTTCACAGGAGAAAAAAAAAAAACAATGACCTCAAGAATGAGTATGTCTTACTTTTTTTTTTAAAGAAAAGCTAATTTTCTTCAATCTCAATAGTTCATGTTTTCTAGTCTTCTGCTATAACATACTTTTAAATCTTTAAGATACACCAGATTGCCACAGGATGTTTAATTAATAGAATAGGAGTTTGGGCAAGACTTGCTGGAAAGGTGCTATAAATTATTTTACACAGGCTCCAAAACCCTGAGTTCTGCCTTAGGCTTAAAGTTCCTAGAAAACGTGGTAGACAGATCTTTTACAACAGAAATGCAAAATAATTCATAAAAGTACTGTGGTTATGTATGAGAGCTCATTTGTAGACCAGTAACTAGTATGTGTACACATACATTTACCAAATTATTTTCCTGTTTTTCTCTGTCGCACCAATGACTCCATTTGAATGGTCAAGACATGATACTTGAACAGACTATTGAAAAACACACTGACTTCATTTTCTATGAGAAGCATAACAACCGCACTCTAACTAAATGTTACAATCTTCTATAACTGGAGCTCTTTTAGGAAATTTAAGAGAACTGCAAATGTAGCCATTAACACAGGACTCTACTCTGCTTTCACTTTTAACATGCCAGGTATCAAAGCAGGAAACATTACATTCAGTGCCTTCTAAATTTATCCAGTCATTATCTCTAGTATATTTCAGTCAGTGAGAGACAAATATTGAACACATTTGAAGTTTACAATTATAAAAATCTGCCCTTTTAAAACAAGACTTTAAAATTATCTGTTAATCGTATAATTTCATTGTTCAATTCATGGAGTTCAAGATACTATCTTCCTCTTCCCCCCCACGACTATAAATGTTAATCCAAGCTGTAATCAGACTGAATTTTCCAGATGAGAAGATGGGAATATGCTGCAAATGCATAATAGTCCACTACACTGTTTCTTCCCTAACTACATTTTCAAATCTATACTAAAAAATGTAGACTCTCAGAAAACAGTCTGAGAAGTTGTATATTTGGAGGACAAGTTCAATCTTCCCCAAAACAAACTTGGAAATAAACTTCCTTTCAATCTTTAAGAAGAAAAGTTAATGTTTGTATAATGTAGAATTATTTTCTTGATAACATGACTGCAAACTGGACCACAATCAACTAATGAAGAGCTTCCAGGATACTAAAAAAGTAGTCT